TGGAAGAGTAAAGTCTTACCTACAATGGAGGACTGGAGATTGAAGGTTTCGCATCTTGCTGAAATGGCAAAAATTTCGGCTTATCTGAAGGATCACTCAAATGAACAATTTTTATCAATATGGAGAAGATGGATTGTTTATATTCAAAATAAGCATAGAATGGTGGAATACAATTTAGGTTTTTAGATAATTTTTTTTTTTATATATATATATTTCACCTACTTATGTAGAATAATATTCTGTGGAGTTAGGGATATTAATACTAGTTTACTTTTAGTTGAATAGTATCCTGGGATTAGGTTTGGGAAGTCCGGGGGTGGGGGGTGGGGGGTAGGGTTTTTACACTGTGATGTATTTGTGATGTGCTTTTTTCTACGATGAAAATAATAAAAATTTATATTTGAAAAAAACAAAACAAAAAAAAACACATCTTTTTTGTATTGTGGTGATCCGGTTGGATCCAAGGATGACCTCTTAAGCAGGAAGTGCACCACTGGGCATTGTGGATTGCCACAATCAGACATCAAGAACTACTTGGATCTAACCACTGACCATTAATCCGTGGAACAACTGGCTCCAGAAGCTGTGAATGCTCCAACACTGGAAGTTTTTAAGAAGAGACTGGACAGCCATTTGTCTGAAATGGTATAGGATTTCCTGACTGAGCAGGGGGTTGGACTAGATAACTAGATGACCTCCAAGGTCCCTTCCAACTTTATTATTATTATTACTACTACTAACCCAACCAGTTCAAAAACCTCCCAGGTAGTTTGAGAGTATTGGAAGTTTCTTTTCTGGAAGAAACAATGCATCATTTCCAAGCCACAGGGGCCAGACCTCAAGCTGTACGGATAAATTGAATATCAGATACAGGAAGGTGGCCTCCAATCAGAGGGGTACATACGTAGAACTCGAACCCCGTGCTTCAAGGTCTGAACGCGCCCAGGTTCCATGGACATGCTAAGCATGGTTTGCTGTCCTCCAATGGTGCACACTTGGTTTTCTTGGGCCGCTTGCTTAAACATGATGATAAGTTGGTTGGCTATGATGGTGTTGAGGATGGAGATAATGGCCATTGGGAAAACAAAGGAGATGAAGACGTTGACCTGGATCAGACAGGAAGAGAGAGAAAAGAAATAGAGAAATCTTGTTAGCATCTAAAGGGGAGAGAAGAGATTAGAGATTTAGGCACTGGTGGGATCCATTCTTTCCAGTAAAAATGCTATCATAGGCGGTCCTCAACTTACAATCATTTGTTTAGTGACTGTTCAAGTATTCAATGACTGTAGAAGATGACCATGCTGACCTCAAGGGAAGGAAGTGGCCTTTAGTTCCTGAGAATGGAAGAGACCTCTATCAATGTTTTTGTTGCGCGACTTCTGCTGCGGTGGTGCGGAGGCCGATTGCAGGCGTGAGCGGGACAGCCGCACAGGGCAGAGGTGCTGCCCGGGGCCGGAGCAGAGCTGGGAGGGACTGCGGTGGTGGCTCCGCTCCGGCCCCAGGCAGGGCCGATCACACCTGTGATCGGCCTCCGTGCTGCTGCTGCCACTGGCGCCCACAATCTGCCTGGCCTCCCCTCCAGGCTTGGGCAGCACCTCTGCCCTGTGTGGTTGTCCCATCATGCCTGTGATTGGCCTCCGCGCCACCGCTGCCGGCACCCGCAATCTGCCCGGCCTCCCCTCCGCCTGCTTTGCACAGCTCCTCCTGGGCCCCCCGCACTCACAATCTGCCCAGCCTCCCCTCCAGACCTGGGCAGCACCTCTGCCCTGCGCGGCTGTCCCATCGCACCTGCGATCGGCCTGTGTGTCACCGCCGCCGGTGCCCGCAATCTGCCCGGCCTCCTCTCCACCTGCTTTGCAGAGATCCTCCTGGGCCCCGCGCACCCGCCGTTAACCCTCCCGCCATCATGCAGGGTAGGGTTGCCACCCCCGCCCTGGTGCCTTCGGCTCACCCAAGCGTTTGTTTTTACTAACCTGCCTTTCAGCTGCATTCCGTTTCTCTGTTTGCTTCTCAGCCTTTGCCACGTGTTTGTGGGACTATCGGTAAAAAAAAAGAGTTCCATCAGACTTTCTAACTTCTCGTGAGATCTCGCGAGAAGTTAGAAAGTCCCGTGGAACTTTTTTTTTTTGTCCCACAAACACGTGGCGAAGGCTGAGAAGTGAATGGAGAAATGGAATGCAGCTGAAAGGCAGGTTAGTAAAAAAAACGCTTGGGGGAGGCGAGGGCATCTGGGCGGCAATCTTACCTTGCGTGGCTTCGGCAGGTGTCTGGCAGGAGGAGGGAAGCAACAAGCCCCGCCCCACCCCTCACATGGAGTGCCCTGCTCCTGTCGCTCCCTCCATCCCCACACGGCACCTTTTTCCCAGCTCCGACGCGTTACTTCCTCCGACGCTGTGTGGGACTGAAAATAAAGTTCAATCAAGCAATTC